TCAACACGTTATTACTTTCTCATTTTTTTTCGAATGCTGTTGTACTGAATTCGCTCTGGAATTGCGGAGTTTCCAAACTTCTGACGCGCCACTTTTCAAACAACCGTAGTTTTCGATTACGATCTCGATTTTGGAAGAATTACGTTGCACATTGTATTCTAAACTTAATTTTGTATACTATAGGTTGTGGATTTAAGGCAATTTCGTTGCTTATTAGCTGCGCTAGGTCCAAGCCAAAAATGTTCTCAACTTTTGACTCCTACCGCATATGGTGACCCATAAATGTATAGAGTATATTGTCTTCAGAGAAGACTTTTCGAGTTTCTCATCAATTATGTGCTTAAACTCGTTGCTGGAACCATTAGAGTAACATTTGAGGTCCTTACACATGAATCTCGTCCTGGCTTTTGAAGCTGGAAGCTATATCTCCTTCATTCCCATTTCTGAAAGCAAAGGATTTGGCATTTCTTCATGCGTGCAGGACGTTTGGTCATTTTGGAACTTCAGCAGGTCCAAATTCATCGCGTTCTGTGCTGAGCTCGGAGCAAAGGATGTTAAGATATACATAAAAGAAGGATCACGACTTTCAGTTGCGCGTGAAGAGTAGAGTCCCTCTCAAAATACTGTAAGAACAAGATGGCCTTGTCACGAAAGGAACGCTGTATACTCTCACATGTGAGCTGGTACGCTTTCATTTGTCATCCTCTTTAAAGGGTAGACGCTCCGAAAAAAGTAGATTCAGGGAAGAAAAAAATGCCGTGATTTTCTAGAATCTTTTTCTTTTTCTTAAAGGAATCTTGCGCGGAAAATCATGATTCTATTTCAGCCATAAATCACTGGCTTGAGACTCATTATCCACGATAATAGTGAAAAGAACTGAAGTATTGCTTTCGTTTTGATTAGAAATTCGAAAACTCGAAAAGGCTGCTACGCGTTCGAATTGCCCACGGACGTCTTTCACGAATGCTGGCGACGGGGATGCTCAAACTTGGTTCTTGGAGTGCATTCACTAGAAGCTCTTTCTGGCCTTCTGCTTCGTTGCATTCACATCTTACACTTCTACTCCATCCTATTCCATCGATCGATTTGTCTCCACTCTCCGAAATCGCGCGCTTTAACCCGATTCTCTCATTGCGTCGCCTGGTACGTAGCCGGCCAAACGCCGTCTTCTTTCCATGCCTCGCCTGGCTCTGCCTCCTGGTCCTTCGATGGTCCATAACGTGTAGTTTTTGTACGTTTGTTTCTCTTCAGAAACCGAATCTTCATGCGTGAAACTTTGTGTGCTATTTCCAGTGATCACAACTGACATATTCATGTTAGGAAAGAGTGCAAGAATTTTCCGCGCAAGATTCCTTTAATCTTAGCGCATAACAGGATCCTCATTTTGTAAGAAGTCGTTCTTGGTCCTGCTGCCTCCTTGGTATATGTCTTTACCATCGCATGCGGTGCTCCCACCGGTGGTTCGTTAGACAGGGAGCCAGCCTGCGTGACTGCTCTAAATCCTCGTTTTCTAGACCTGTTTTGCAGCTTGCGCCAGCCGATGCTCGTCCCAGCACCCTCATCTGAGTGGAATGACGTCTTTCGCGATTCTCGCTCGGAAGCCAGCGCTCATCCCTTATAAAGTCGCAGATCTCACCACTGGCCGATACACTACCCTTTGAGCGCTCTGGAACACTTCTAATTAGCATAGCAGAGCACTCCAGTGGAGTCCTTTCATTGATCAGCCCTGGGTTGCTCCGTGCTTTTACGTGGTCTACATCACCTTCAGCGCGTTGGATCGCTTTTGAGGCGTCGGTAACCTTCCACTCTTTTGATGATCCCATGGTTACGATCGTCTCTGTACCCTTTAACACAGCAACCTGGTCTTGAGATCTATGTGGAGCTCACGATCTGGCAGCAATTTCAGCCTTTTGCACTGACCTGAATTTCTATTCAGCTATCCGTTGTTAGGGCGATGTCGTACGCGTGAGCAATGACTTCTGACTTCCAGTGGTCTCCTATGAGTCTCTTCATGACACACACCTAGGGCCATGGAGAAGAAAGGAGCAAGCAAAGGTCTCCTTTACACATTACAAGCATCTGCCAGAGAAACATAGTGCACGGGTAGCATAATCGAGGCCCTCGACGGGCCGTGGAACATTACGACATTATCTGAAACACTGGTAGAAAAAAGTTTCGCCAATTGGAGCTATGTAGTCTCTAGGAAGCTTCCCATCGATTAACCGATAAAGAGGTTATGTGACAGCTTCAGGATGGAGCACTCACGATACCTCCATGAGCTTGATGGCTATATCATGACCTTGTACTGAGGTCGGTGAGGGCAGTGGATAAGAGCTTGTTTCTACAGAGAGAGGGACATTCCTGAGGTATTCTGCTGTAGAGCTTCCGTCAACAAATCTGTGGCAACGGAAGAAAAATCACTGATGTGCGACATGAGCGGAATGTCTTTTTTTTGCCACCCCTCCCCCTTGTATACGCATGAACCAATCCTACGGGTACTATATTTATTGTCCTCAATTCTGGTGTGCACAGCACAGAAGTGACGCAGTCTCGCAATTTTTTTGCGTTCAGACTTCTAAAATTAGCGTTCAAAGTCTCAAGCTAGTTAATGTTGCATGTCTACTTTTAATGCAATAAGGCTTGAGACGCACAATAGAGTGTTACAAATACTGTATTTGTATACCTTTTAATATTATGAATGTAACTTGTACTGATGCCTTAAAATTACCTGTGCGTTCATGGGAAGGGCGCACGGCTTCGTACGATAACGCGATACGCAATGGAACGATGGAATGGGGCTTGTTTGGTTTAGTGTTCTGCTGTTTTCGGACTTGAGTTATGAATGGTATACAAGAACAAGCACTGAGTGCAGAGCTATCAGCACAATGCTGGGCTGTCGAGGCGACTCGAGCCAGTGTCGCTTTGTGAGCTGCTCGGCCTATATCGGCAATGATCGGTTGAGCTGGTCGCGTTGGCAATATATTGTTTTGCCAAGGAAAACAAATGCGAGTTCGCATTCTTTCTTGGGGGGTCCTGGGTCAATGTTGTTTTGAAATTGCTCATCACCATAAAGTCAGATCCTGCAAGGAATCCTCCTTCGGTCAATCAAACCAACCTGGGAGGACAAACATCTTCCACTCCTCATCATTCAACTTTCTAGATATCACGCACACACGTATTCAAATTTCACTGCTGTTTTATTGGACGACGATTTGTGTGGCCTTGGCGAATCGCTAGCGAATCGAGCGAATCGCTAATCGAATCGCAAAGTATGACGTTGGCCTGAGGCGGATTGGTCGACGCGATTATTGCACATCACGACTGTCAGTGCATGTATCCTCCAAATGCAGAGAAGTGATATGAAAAAGCGTTCTACGAGTGGATAGCGGCTTTCGATTAGAATACTCTTCGATACTCAAGTTTGCACTCGCCTCCCCACCTCCCTTCCGGTGGATCGCGCACGGATACGGGACTTCGTTTTTACCAAGATCGGTGCCGGAAAAAATCAAAAAGTGCTGGTGGAGGACATGATCGAATTCCAGGTTAGATCCCTCCAAAATCTTACACGTGCTGCCCCACCACATATTCGTTTCCTAAGCACAATCTGCCTCACCCTTTCTTGCTGTCTACGAGATGAGTTTTTCTAAAGCTGCTTCCCTACGAAATTTCATTGCACAGAATTTTGCATAAGGTCTTCTATGGCTCCACATACATACAACGCTTCTTCGAAAAGGGCAAGAAAAGAGTTTCTCGTGCAGGATGACTTTGAGGCTAAAGATTCTAAATCTAGCCGAACAAAGAAAAGAATCCCTCAACCCCGTTCCTGCTCTCCCTCGTTCTTCAGTGAGTTAATTTAGGCAGTGGATCTTACATGGTTGTGTTATATCCTCTGAAGCACGACTTTCTTAGCTTTGTTTACCTTGTCATGCCTGATTACAGGAACTCTTTGACAACATCTTATTTAGCTTAGAAGGACAAAGGGTTCGAAGTGGCCATTTTCAATGAAACGTTACGGTATGTGGTTCCAGACCTGATCTGAGATCTCCTTCCCAAATCTGGCAAACGATTCCGCTAACGGAGTTTACTAAGTTGTCAGTTCCACACAACTTTAAAACCAGTGAGGAGGTTGGCCTCAGCAGATAGGGTCTTTGAATGAAGGCTATGCTGGTATAGTCCTGTGGCCTAGTGGTTTTAGAGCGACAGCTTTGTTTTGAAGTCAGTGCGGTGAAACCCGATCGACCATTTTGGCAGTAGTGAACATGGTACCCAATCACCATTGTTTCAACCCATACCTTGCTTTTTGGTGCAGTTCTGACGGTCGCATATTTCAAATTATTCTAACAGTCATGGATAAGATTCAGAGCATCAGTATCCCGTAACGCGGCTTTAGCTAGGAGTGAATATCTGTGCTCAAATACCTACGAGAGCGAATGTCTGCGCGAAAAATTCGGAGGCTGCGAATTCCGAAAAAGTAGGCCGAGTCATCGATGCTATATCACCCGTTTGAGCCGCATTTCCAGGTGACCTCTCTTGAACGAAGGGACGATCCTTGGAATTTTGGACTTATTTGCCACAGAAAATCGATGAAATAATTCCTCTCGCTCGGAGCATCATTTGAAATTTAAGGGCAAAACGTACTATTGTGTTTTTTAAGGAGAGCTTGGGATAGCTAGACGTGTTATAAATTTTTCATCTATCGCATTCAGCTTAGCAGCTTCAAAGCGAAATATCGAATATCAGAAGAGCGGAACACATTTTGAGGCTGAATCCGGAAAGTATGCTGTTTAAGGGAAAGTGTGTGGAAATATACAATTGAACCGTTTTTCAGAAGCCATTTCTTTCATGGCAAACGAACACCGTGATTATAAAAACGTTTGAGTAAACAAAAAGATCAATTTTCGTGTACAGCAGAACATCATAACAAATTATATCCAGCGAGAGCCGCTGTGATTTAGAATGCAATCCCGCTCATCCCACTTCTAGTAGGCATCCATTTATAGAGAGTGGAGTCTATAGCCGAGATGAGCGAGACACCGTCGCCTTCCGTGCACGAAGATAGCAGAATTAAGGAGAAAATGAGGCCCGATCCACAATAGGGCAACACATCTGATATGAGAAGGATGTCTAACGTGTGATGTTATGACTACGAGGGTCGTCTTCATCCGGTTGCCTCATACCGGGGTAAACATGGGCCACCACAGATGCATCTTTAATAAACGGAAGAGCTCAGAGTGGTGCTAAAGATATTATGAGTGTCCAGGATGTACAAAGCAGTTACGAGACCAGCTGAAGTAGCTCTCTTCAGTCGGATGAGTCGGAGTAGTAAGGTTTGGAGGGGTAAGAGGCATGGGAACGACCATGAAAGTCAAAATGGTCATGAGAAAGAGGACGTTAAATTTTTCTAGAATGCGTTCAGGTCTCTCATAGTGATTCGACGTACAATAAACTAGGGATCTAGCAAGTGGCACTCAAAGTGGGAGAGGAGAGTGGCATGGGAGATGTTTAGCTGAGCAAAGGCGTCGTCCGAGCACCTCCATCCATAATTGATGTCGGCTCTTCTAAACGCTTCAATGCTGTGTGCTATCGTTCAAGTCTTATCCATACACGTCAGCCGGCGGAAATCTTACCAGAAAAGTGATAGACTGAAGACTTTACACGAAAATTAGTGTAGTGCTTGAAAATGCAGTAGATATACCTACTTAGTGACCACATCAGGTTTACTTGTGTATGTTCTCCTTCAGCAAATATAGAGGGAACAAACTGAACGAATGGCATCGGTAACGTGGTTTGACATCGCTATGTCAGATCACTTCACAAGAGTTATCAATCCTACATCTCATATTGGAAACAATTATCCATAGATCGGACACTCACTACTTTCAGCTTGGTCATATTGATACTTCCTTATTCATTGGAGACTTCCGTACTTTCTTATGAGAAACAAAATTTCACTGTAGAGAGCAGAATGAGAAGGGTTTCCAATCAATTCTGCTCCGTCATTTCACCTTGCAATTTGAAAGGTGTGCATGCATCCCAGTAAGTATCGCCAACGTAGGCAACTAGGTTATGTAGGCAGTAAAGCTGAGGTAAAAGCAATTGGTATTCAGATTACGTTAATAAGTATTATTTATGGCTTCTTATCGTAGACGACCAGATGGCACATTGAGACGTCTCCCATCGATGAGTGAAGGCAAGACGAAAGTCGATGGACTTGATCCCCAACCAGCGATTACATGTCTCCAAGGCTACCGTTCACATGTTCACAAACAAAAAATTGAGATGAAAAAATTACGTAGACAATTTTTGTGGTACTCACGTTCAACAACGGAACCTTAATATGAATCTTCGAAAAAAGCAGAAAAAGAAGAAAGAAAAAAAATTTGGAGAATAATGCAGTTAGTGGGTATTTACTAGATAATCCTTAGAATATAGTAAGCACAAAGTAGAGGAAGCCTACAATTAAGTATTTCAGCTGGTGATGGTTAGCTCCACAATGACACTGTGAAGAGTTACGAAGAATTTTCGAGTATCAAATGCCATATACGGCTTACCTGTTCCACTGAAAGAGCCTGAGCAAGCTTTCAGCTCATTTCGGGCACATTCAGTGCTTTTGTTAAATAAAGCATTCCACCAGTCCAACTCACACACACAATCATTACATACATCAATTGGTCTTGACTCACTGACTCGGCGATGGTTGTCGATTTGCCTCCTTCATTCGCGTCATCAACAGTGCGCATGTCTTGTGGTCACTCACATTAACAACTCTGAAATAGGTTGTAAGTAGAAGTAGCGCTTTGCAGAAAAATATCAAATTCTACAATAAAGCCCTCAAGACTCTTATTGCTAGTTTGTTCCATGCCCAGGCAGGGTCGGTCCTATCGTTGCTACTTTTCAAAAAGTTTTTACGACCCCCCTCCCTCATGAAATGTTTCATACTACGACCCCCTCTTTCAAAGCAATTTTCCCCCAAAAAATTATCGTCGAGCGGGGGGTATATACTTACCGTAAAACCGCAAAAATTCCCTACATTTCCCTACAATTTCCATGTATTTTACCCATATTTCAACTGCTCCATTTTCTAGGAGGGTATATACGCGCGCTGAAACGGCAAATTTTCTCCCGCGCCGCTCCCCACTCATCATGCAACTTCTTACAACCGAAGCAAGTACGACCCCCCCCCGTTGCTACTTGTAGCAACATAGGGTTGACCCTGTGCCCAGGTCCATGTAGTGTCGTCTACTATCTTGTCTAGTTTCAGGATTAGCACGATAATCAAACGGTGTCCTGCAGAGAACCCTCGACCAAAACATTCTTAACAGATAACCTTGAGACTACCTTCAGCTCTATAAAAGACTTAGGAAAGACATGTATAGAATGAAAACTTAAAAATTACAATATTTTTTAGGAGTTGTTTTCCTTCCATACCATTTCTACCAAATACATAGTATATAACAAGACTCCTCGACCCGTTCCCGTTTTTTTTTTAGCAAAACTCTCAAACCTTGTTTTCAACCATTCTAAAATCGTAATGCCGGTTCCAACCAATAATATAAAATAATATATTGTATATAAATATACAACCTCTCAACTCTTTTTTATCCCCCTTAAATCAAACGTTGCAGTACTCTCTCCTGCTTTTATGCACTTTAAACGCCTTTTCTCACGTCTACCTTATGTGGCGTATGAATAAATAAAACAAAACAAATAAACTTGTTGAATTTTGGCAAACAGACAGCTGGCCCAGACTGGGAACCTATTGACAACACCGAGCACCTGTGGTCTTGGAAAATTGAGAAATAAACCGCTTAGTGATACTCCTCTCCGTTCTCCTGAGAACCATATTAAACGAAGTAGTATTTTTCACACCAGGAAGTAAAATTCTCAAATCAGGCTAGGAATAGTGAAGCGTCTCGAAATAATGACTGAAGAATGGAAAGATGAGGTGGAGATGACCCTTCCGCTTTTCACCAAGTGGGAATGAAGTTGAGTTTATGTTATACGATTCTGAACAGAAACGGGAGATTCTGAGTAAAGCAGTGAGTTTTTGGATAGGTTGTTTAAGAATTGTTCCACCCATAAAGAGCGAAAAGTGAGGCCTTAAGGGTTCTGCCTGCTAAAATTTCTAGTACATCGTGCTGGTCATACTTGAAGGCAGTAGGGACTCATGAACAATAAACGCATCATTCACTGCCATTCAGAAGGATCGTGCCGAGCCTGGAAACTTATACTTGAACTCTAGGGCGCGTGGTAACCGTGAGAAATTAGGAAAGCCCCCTCGGTAACCAGCACCTCTAGGATAGTTGGCCGATCTGTACAATTCCGTACGCCAGCGAACCTTTAGCAGATTTATATGCAAGTGACACGATATTATAATTAATTCCGACCAAGAAATCAGAAGTAACAGAAGGAAAGGGTTTTTAATGAAGGTGGAACTTGAGGCCACTGGAATATTCCACCAAACAACACAAGGTAAGGCACAAGAAACTTAACACATTTTCCCTTAATATTATTAAAATTTATATTTCATTGTACCGAAGTCCAAATTAACGCACCCATCCTCGAATATACGAGGAGCATACAACAATAGTTGTGTGGGCGAAATGAGAGCTCGGATCGACATCAATATCGTCACCGATCCCGTCGTCCTCGCCCTCCAGCTGTTGGTAGACGCTGCACACCATTTCCAGTCGACCCCCTACTTCATGGTTTATCTGACTGCAATGCGGCAGTGATAGAACAAGAGTAGACGTGACCGAACATCAATAAACAAACGGATAAGCAAAAACAAGAGTATCGAAGAGAATTCAACTCAGGAACAGCTTCTTCCAAAAGAGTGAACATTTGACTGTAATCGAAAATCCAGTAAGTACCATTAGAAAATAGCAGCGTAAGAAAATCTGTCCAACTAATCATGTGAGATTAAAACTTTTCAAACTTAGAATAGAAGGAACTGTATGACCACAGTTAGAGCAGCAACAATTTAGCTTATATTCAGCTCAGATAAGGGATACAACAAAAAGTCAGTTTTTACTCTTTACCATGTGCCAAGGAACGCGTGCAGTCAAAGAAGATGAAGCTTTCCGTCTGCAAAATTCGGCGCCTTCCTTAGCTCAGACCTCACCGGCGACGCACAGAATAGCGCATTCTAATGTAATACTAGTAATGTAATGTAATCTAATAATGTAACAGTATTGTAGTCTATAGTCGCTAATGGGTCTCACTTAAAGGACGAATTCACGATGAAAAAGCAACCCATTTCAAATTAACCTAGGGATGGTGAGTGGTACACGAAAGAAGGAAGAACCATGAGAAACGGCCCAGAACCCGAGAAATGGGACCCCTTCCTTGCCCGTTGATTTGAGCATTGATGCGACTCTCATCGCTGTGCCCTCTTCAACACTACGCTCTCTCAGCTATCTAATCACTCGCCACGTATTGAACTACGGCGAGTGATCAGATGATCGGTGGGCGGAGATCGCCGGACCCGCCAGCTTTGAGGCATGATAGGTCGCCGAGGTCAAATTTTTCCATGCGAATTGCGCGTCAGTTCGCACCCTCAGGAGGTCCGTGGGTCCCTCAACTAGGTCAGTTTCCCTTTCTTCGACCTTCATTCTAATCGTGAATTCCTCCTTTAAGTGCGATGATCTCGTACATTTCATAAATTATCGCCATGCAACTCGCCCTTATTATAACCCGCATACCGTAGAACCTCTCGCATCGACAAATCGTCGGTTCAGTAAGTGGTTATGTATGGTATGGTTTCCTTGTAAAAGTCCAGAATGAATTCCTATGGTTTCCTTGTAAAAGTCCAGAATGATTTCATCCACAGCTTTGCTTGCCAAGCCTAGTCTTCAACGACGTACTATCTCAAAGTTACGGTAATGATAACGTCTCCAGCCTTGCGGCCTCTCAAGCGCTAAAGTAGGAAGTATTATCGATTATCCAATGGGATTTAGCTACATTAAGATAGGATACGGTATAGCTTCGCGTTCTTGTGTTTGCTAGGCAATGCGTTATAAATCAACAATAAACCATAAATTCGCATGCCACATAGAGATTCTCTCCATCTTGGCGTTAGGCCTTCTAGCAGTCC